ATTGTAACTTTAGAATTTACTCTAAATAGGGTATGATAGTGCTGGGGGAAAGCACTCTGGAGGGAAGTGGAACATGTCCTGACAGACTAACAGCCCAAACAAGTCTGTCTTGGATGAAGTACAGCCAGCACGCTCCTTAGAAGCAAGGATGGCAAGGCTTCATCTCACATACTCTGGATATGTTCCCTGAAGAAAGACCTCATGCTGGGTGAAGTAGAGGGAGGGTGGGAGAGGGCACACCATTCAGGAGCTAGACCCACCCAGTGGTCGCAGTAATGAGCTCATACACGGCAGAGTCTGGAGGATGGTGCAGGACCCTGATGGCAGTGTTTCATCCTGTTGGTAAGTGGGGTCGCTTTGAGTCAACCACCTTGACGACAGCTAATAACATGTTTGTGGGAAACCAAATGTAATCATCTTTTATGTAGAATTGTTACCTGGAAAGGGGTTATTCTGTAACGAAAAGTTTTAGAAGAAAGCATTTTAAGATTTCTTTGATTTCATGAAATACTCACTAAAGAGCTGAACCACTGGAAAAGCCCATGGTAGTTGGTTATAGGCAAAAGTTATGGGGGGGGGGGGGGGGGGGGGGGGGGGGGGGGAGAAGGGTGCAACAATGAATGAATGGAATTCCAGAATCTCTGTAGATGTTCATTGAAATGAAAAATAAATAAAATATTTTTTAAAAAAGTTTGTGATTAAAACTGAAAATGGGACTCTGGAAAATCAGACCCAATTTTCTCAACCCTAGATTACTTTACTATGCAACCTCACACCCAACCTCTAAACCAAGGGAAAGAAATTTTTATTCTAAATGAATCACCATGCCATCACACTACTCATTAAGTATCATCTAAGACATGGGGATTTTCATGGTATCTTGGATGCCAAGACTTGAACATAAAAATTGCAACAAAGGGTCCAATGAAGATTCTGAAGAGGGAGTAGAAAAATGCAAGGACTAGAATTTTCTTCACTATAAGAATAGAGAGCTCTAGTGGCCCAGAGGCAAGAAGCTGCACTGGAATCCTGAAGACACACAGTTTGAAACTATCTACGAGCCACTCTTTGGGAAAAGGATGGCAAGCTCCTCCCATGCAATTAACTGCCTCTGAAAACCAGCCAGAGGATCAGCTATGGGTTAGTTCTGACTCGATGGGACACAACAATAAGAGTAAGTTTTGAAAGTGGGGGAGGGGGGAAGCATTAACAGTCCTCTTAAAAGTTCATATTTTTTAAAAATTTTATTAAAAGTTCATATTAAAAATGAAGGGCCCTTTTAAAATAGTCTATCAAAGTTACCAAAAGAAGTTAGTGAATTTCTTTTAAGTAAAAGGAACATGATCTTTTATACATAAAACAAAACTAGGGTTTCTTTGAAGAATTAAAAGGTTGTCTAGCAAATGAGAGTAAGTTGAAAGTGGGGTGGGGTGAGGGGCAAGGGCAGTTTTGTTTCTAGAAAAACAACAAAGTTAAACTAGGTTGAGCTTAATACAGTTAAAAATCATTGATAGAGAGCACTTACCTTTAGAGGCACTTGTGCGTGGAGGTCAGGTCCGGTAATCCAGAGGGAATTGCACTGCTGGAAAGCTCAGGTGACCTGGTGGGAAGAAGCTATGCTGCAATCCCAAAGGCCTGCGATTCGAATGAATATACGAGCTGTTCTGCTGGACAAAGATGGGCAATCTCCCATGCGATTTGCTGCCTCTGAAAGCCGCTTGGAGGTTCAACTATCGGTTGGTTCCAAATCGACAGCACATAGCCACCCAGTGGAGGGTAGTGAGTCAACTGTGAATTGATTCCAACTCAACACCATTGAGTTTGAGTTTTATTTAATGTATTATCACTGGTGGCTTAGTTAGGTAAAGAGCCAGCTGCTCCATGGGAGAAAGCTGAGCAATCCCCTCCTGTGAGATTTACTACCTCCGAAAACACACAGAGGGTCAGTTCTGACTAAACAACAATGTAGACTTCATTCAGTATGTGCTGTAGTATCTACACCGTTACATTTTCTCTCAGTGATCATTCAGTTACCTGGAGCAGTTCCTCACCATGCAAACTACCCAGTTATACTGATTATCAAACTGTGATTCACCAAATGAGTTTAGTGATAGTTTAACCGTCATTTTTTTAAACGAAATAGAATAAAAAATATCAGTGTATCCAAGGTAATGAAGTTAAGTATAATTTTATTTTTGTTTCAATTTTCACTTCAGTTTTGTTTCACTTAAATGTATTTTTAAGATGTATATATACATCTCTCTGTGTTTATATAGTACAGATATGCATATTTGTACATAGGGTCGCTATGAGTCGCAAACGACTCGATGGCACATAACAACAATAACAACATATAAATCTAAAACGTGTAACCTGAGTCACAGTATGACATCTAATTCCTACTGTGGACCACAGTAAAAAGTATATATTTGAAAACCC